TTTTGTCTTAATGCCTGTTCTCACACACAGCATTAGACTTACATCAGGTCTCATGACGTATCGTGTAGTTTCATGTTAAAAATGAGCCTCTGATGATATGGGGTTTAATAAATAGAAGCTTTATCACAAGTATCTAACCCTGACCCTAAATTGTGGTTCCATTTCATGCTCAGGTGTGTGCTTTAAAGAACGTTTTTGCCTCTATCTCGGATTGTTCTGATTCGAAGCTGGAAAGTGAGGAGTAATGGAACGAAAATATGATTGACTCATTTAATTGATTGACATTAAAGTTAATCAGACAAACTTAATGCCCTTGAAAATAACTAGCAAAAAATTATGCTTTCTCAGTTTAACCCCTCCTACGCCTTGCATCAGCAACTTTCTTACCTGTTTCTTGACTTCCATCCTAAATTAACATCAAGAGGGAGCGGATGAAACATAAATCTTAATGTTGCGAAATTTTACTTAAACATTTTGCTTAACGCAGGCACTACCTTAGCAATATTAGAAAGTTTTTTAAAAAGCTATATAAATATTTAATTTTTTATATTATTTTATGTTTCAGGAGCAGTACTTATCATCGTCACTCATATGTTGCTTCGTTCGCTTCAAACAAAGTTTAATTCAATTGGACAATAATACATCATTCACGCACATACTGTAATAGTGTACGTAAGTAGAGATAAAAAAGATTTGGATAGGTAGCTTCAATTAATATTGCAACTTTGATGACTTAGAGACACATTCTTTTTTCTTATTCCATGAATCTTTAAAATTTGGTTAAGCATTTAAAGTACAAAATAACAACTTTTCACCAAAATTTTAAAAACAAAAATTACAAAGTGTTATCGAATATTTTCAGCACATACGTTAAAATTAATTATGGGTTGTTCAGAAAACAAAATCATGATTTATTTTTTTACAATTTACCGTCATTTTTGCTTTATAACCTTTTGATAAGTTAATGATAAATCAATCCATTTTAATCTTCACAATTAATACCTCACATACATAAATTTTGAAGAAACTGCAAACTTTTAATAATTTGCTGGTCCACCATTTTAATCAATTGTCAATGTGTGGTTGTACACTCAACTTCTGTAAGTCTCTTAAATAGATCGGATTTAAGCTTACGAACTTCGCTTTGTTCTTCATATGCTTAAATTTTCAATATTGAAAAGTTATTAAAATTATAATTAACTGCAATATTGAAGTCGTCGTTACAGTAAATTCATATTCAAGGAATATTCGGAAGTAAAAACTAAGGTTCAGCAGAATTTTTGTCTTTTCCGTAATCTAAAACCAAGATCCAGTAAAATTAAGTCATATCTGAAACCAAAACCACTAGTTAACTGGATTTTTAAAAGAAACTTATAAATATTACACAAATTAAAAATTTGCAGCATATTATAATTTTTAAAGTAAAACATCCATCTGAAAATTTAAGTGTTTAAAAGAATAAAAGAGTCTGTTGGTCTTTTTAATGGAGTCAAGTTGTAAATCTCCTTTTTATTCATTGATTGATTTTTGGTTTTCATTCAATAAAACAGTATCTTGAAATAACATCTTATGTGATCAGAGATCGACGCTAAAAGATTTTTTCCTTTCTCTTATTACTTTTGATTTTCGGCTTTAAATAATTCATTGTTCTCTAATTTAATTTTTTTGTTCAAGGTATTTCTTTTGATTTAATATTTTTATTTTAAGTTTATACTTGCACTTATTCACATAGAATAGAAAGAATTAAAGCGAAACGAGATTTATAATAAAAACTTATCAAGTTAATTTAACATAATATTGATGATTCCGAGAGAAATTCCTACATTCAGCTTATATTTTTAAATTGGTTATTATTATTTTTTTCTTGTTTTGAGCAAATCACACTATGTATTTGATTAATTATTGAATATTTTCACGAAACAAACATATAATGTAAATGAACAAAAAAATTTTATAATTTTCTCAGTTACCATTGACTTTTAATTTATTTACATTTTCAGTTTTTCTTTGATCGTTGAAGCCATAAGACGTATTTTGAAAATTCTTGTCAAATCGTTCTGCAATAGAAGATAAAGGTTATGAAGAAATGCTTGAGAGAGTCGCTTTATGGAATGCAAAGCTAAGTATTTTGATAAATTGAAATGATAAATGTAAGGCTTACGTTGAGGATTTTGTAAAATTTAGAATATTGCATTAAGTTTTATGTTGAGTCTACCTTTATTAATGCAAATTTAGAATAGGAGGCGATTTATAGGTCAGAGGGTGTTGATAAAGTGAGTGGACACACAATTAGAAATTTTTATATTTTCAAAATTTCTCCCTTATTTTTTTATAAAGTTTAATAATAGGCTAATAAAACCTATTAAAGCCTATCATTAAACTTTAATAAGTTTTATGAAAAAATAAAGGAGAAACTTGGAAAATATAAAAATTTCTAATTGTGTGTCCACTCACTTTATAAGGTGAAGAAGAGTAAAACTTAAGAAAAGTCTAATTTTTTGAAAGATTATCATCAAAGATTTTAAGTTTTTCAGATTTTGGCAGAGCTTGAAGTAGACTAGGTTTTGAGTCGAGTCGACTCGACTCGAACCCTATCGACTTCGAGTTCTGGATTTTGGTTTTTTGTGAATTCGAGCTCTTGAATCATGAAGATTTTCTGCCTGTGAGACTGACTAACTTAGCTAATATTTGGTTCATCCTTGATGAAGAGTGGCATCAAGTACATTGATTGCTTGCTGATAAAACAGACTTGCAATATTTTGTCTTAATGCCTGTTCTCACACACAGCATTAGACTTACATCAGGTCTCATGACGTATCGTGTAGTTTCATGTTAAAAATGAGCCTCTGATGATATGGGGTTTAATAAATAGAAGCTTTATCACAAGTATCTAACCCTGACCCTAAATTGTGGTTCCATTTCATGCTCAGGTGTGTGCTTTAAAGAACGTTTTTGCCTCTATCTCGGATTGTTCTGATTCGAAGCTGGAAAGTGAGGAGTAATGGAACGAAAATATGATTGACTCATTTAATTGATTGACATTAAAGTTAATCAGACAAACTTAATGCCCTTGAAAATAACTAGCAAAAAATTATGCTTTCTCAGTTTAACCCCTCCTACGCCTTGCATCAGCAACTTTCTTACCTGTTTCTTGACTTCCATCCTAAATTAACATCAAGAGGGAGCGGATGAAACATAAATCTTAATGTTGCGAAATTTTACTTAAACATTTTGCTTAACGCAGGCACTACTTTAGCAATATTAGAAAGTTTTTTAAATAGCTACATAAATATTTAATTTTTTATATTATTTTATGTTTTAGGAGCAGTACTTATCATCGTCACTCATATGTTGCTTCGTTCGCTTCAAACAAAGTTTAATTCAATTGGACAATAATACATCATTCACGCACATACTGTAATAGTGTACGTAAGTAGAGATAAAAAAGATTTGGATAGGTAGCTTCAATTAATATTGCAACTTTGATGACTTAGAGACACATTCTTTTTTATTATTCCATGAATCTTTAAAATTTGGTTAAGAATTTAAAGTAAAAAATAACAACTTTTCACCAAAATTTTAAAAACAAAAATTACAAAGTGTTATCGAATATTTTCAGCACATACGTTAAAATTAATTATGGGTTGTTCAGAAAACAAAATCATGATTTATTTTTTAATAATTTGCTGGTCCACCATTTTAAACAATTGTCAATGTGTGGTTGTACACTCAACTTCTATAAGTCTCTTAAATAGATCGGATTTAAGCTTACGAACTTTGCTTTGTTCTTCATATGCTTAAATTTTCAATATTGAAAAGTTATTAAAATTAAAATTAACTGCAATATTGAAGTCGTCGTTACAGTAAATTCATATTCAAGGAATATTCGGAAGTAAAAACTAAGGTTCAGTAGAATTTTTGTCTTTTCCGTAATCTAAAACCAAGATCCAGTAAAATTAAGTCATATCTGAAACCAAAACCACTAGTTAACTGGATTTTTAAAAGAAACTTATAAATATTACACAAATTAAAAATTTGCAGCATATTATAATTTTTAAAGTAAAACATCCATCTGAAAATTTAAGTGTTTAAAAGAATAAAAGAGTCTGTTGGTCTTTTTAATGGAGTCAAGTTGTAAATCTCCTTTTTATTCATTGATTGATTTTTGGTTTTCATTCAATAAAACAGTATCTTGAAATAACATCTTATGTGATCAGAGATCGACGCTAAAAGATTTTTTCCTTTCTCTTATTACTTTTGATTTTTGGCTTTAAATAATTCATTGTTCTAATTTAATTTTTTTGTTCAAGGTTTTTCTTTTGATTTAATATTTTTTTTAAGTTTATTCTTGCGATGACATTACAGTTAGATTTGTTTTGTTATTTAAGGTAGACAGAAATTAGTTTTTTTTTTGAAAATAGATGTTTTTGGCACTTATTCACATAGAATAGAAAGAATTAAAGCGAAACGAGATTTATAATAAAAACTTATCAAGTTAATTTAACATAATATTGATGATTGCGAGAGAAATACCTACATTCAGCTTATATTTTTAAATTGGTTATTATTATTTTTTCTTGTTTTGAGCAAGTCACACTATGTAATTGATTAATTATTGAATATTTTCACGAAACAAACATATAATAAACATTTTTTTTTTCATACCATTTAAAACATTCATAAAAAGGATAAATTCACAAAAATATATCGCATGCATGAACAATTATTAAATTTTTACGTTCATATTATTATAATTTTTTTTTCATTGACCGGAAAGCAATATTAAGCCATTGAATATAATTTTATAGATTTTTTTAAATATTGGTTATCAATGCTGACAAACTACATTTTAGAATTTTTAAAAGTCATAAATATAATGATTATAAGTAAGTTAAAATTTAAAAAAAAAACTAATTAAAACTCAACAGAAAAAAAGAGCACAATTTATTTTCCTCTTGAAATAATTTTAAAAAACTTTCATATTATATTTTTTTTGTTTTATATAGAGCACTTGTAATAGATTTAAATAGTGTCATATTATAGAAGAAACGAGAAGTATTTTTTGATGAGACAAATTCAATTTTCTTTTTTTATGTGTTCAGAATATGATGAGAATTAAATTTAATCTTCGCCGGTGCAGAGTGGTCCGAACAAGTAGACAGCTGGATTATGTTCAGATTTACCTAAGTAATCACCATAGAGATCTTGATAACGATCAAGGGTTAAGCCACCATTAGCTTTGTCTTTTTCCTGAAAAAAAAATTTAAAAAAGGAAAATTGCAATTTAGTAAATTATTATTAACGATTTGGTCTTTTGTTTAATCAGCTAGTGAAGTGCTTGTTGCTGTGAATTAAATTTTCATTTTCATTACAACCGAGTTTTTTGAAGATTTTTAAAATTACGCCACTTTTAATGAAAGGATACGGAATTTTTTTCAAAAGCTTTAAGGTCGTTCAGAAATAATGTCTTTCGAAAAAAGAATGTTTTGTCCTCTCTTCTAAGCTCTGCCTCTCTGCGAAGAGTAAATACTATTTATTTTTAAAAAACGATCGTTATTTGTAAACGACCCTTTTTAATAAGACAAAATTCACTTTGATCTCAAAGTCATAAAGCAAAACCAAAGCACTTAATTTTCATACCTTTTACTTCAAACTTTTAAAAAATAAAGTCAAAGAAAGTACCGAAATATAAATTACTTGAGTGCCTGTCTTGTCAAAAAAGAATAATTAGGTTTTATTTGATTGATTGGAGGCCTTTTTTAATACAATGCAATAGACTTTAAATTATGTTAACAACTTCGTTAGCTGTACTTTGTAGAAAATTGTAAATGCAACCACTAGTTTCTGTATTGTTCTGAATCAGACTAGTAATAAACAATGCATCGTTATCAACACATCGTAATTAATTAAGGGGCCGTTGAAATATAATGTCTTTCGAAAAAGCTGTTGCCCATCAGAATCTCTAATAAAATTTCTTTATATCTTTAAACCCTAACCTCCCCCCAAGTAATTTTATGCAAATTTTTTGTTCTTACTAATTAAATTTTTTCAAAAGAACATAAGATAAAGAAAATGAATAGAATGCTATAGGAACCGAAGAGAAAATTAATTCACAACTTTTTATGGTTTTTACACAGTACTGCAGCAACAATCACCATCTATTTTAGCTTTGATTAGAACTTTATGCTTATGTTTGTTTTTGTTTGTTTATGCAGATATAAGCCAATGTTTGTTTATTTACTAAAGTAATTTTCATGAAATGTTTCGAATGAAACAAGTTTAATGAAATAAGCTAATTATAAATAAGAAATCAGAAATTGTCTAGAATGATTAGGGAATCTAAATAAGGCTATGCTGGCTGGATTTTGGGATGAAAATTAAATGAAATATACTTACGTTAAGCAAAGCATTGAAGGCATCATCAACGACTTTAACATCGTCTGTGGCAAGTCTTTGAATTGCATTATAACGGAACTCTTCAATTCCAATAACTCCATCACTATTAATGTCCATAATTTTGAAGTTAGCTTCTATGAATGCTTTCATGGCCTAGTAAAAAGAAAATTAACTTTAATTAAATTTAAAATCCACCAAGATTATTCCATGCATCTATTGCAATTAATTTAATTGAATTTTTATTTATAGATAGGGAAATGCTTAGCTTATCCTTTTACGATAAAATAAATCAATAAGAAAAGAAGTTAATTAAATTCAGTTTTTGTTTCGTTGCAGTTTTTATGTAATTTATAGGTCAATTTTCTTATGCAATAAGCTTTGTTTTTCGCAAAAAGCTTTTTTATTTTCATTGTGGGAGAAATCAAAGTATCTTTTATGCACATAAAGAGAGTGACACATGTGAATAAATTTCACCAATGTTATTTTCTTCATCCCTCTATATTGTTACATTTTCTTTTAACACAATCTCGTGTTTCTTTGCTGCTTAATGTTTAAACTGTATATTTTTAGGACCAGCAAAAATGTCTGTAATGTGATTATTTAATTATTTAAGAAGAATATTTTTCGATGATAATCTTAACTGCTTTTTTGTCAATGCTCAATTAAATTTGAGGAGGCTTATTAATCATTATTTTAAATGCTGATTAAATCATTAAAAACTTCCTCATTGGTTCAAATAAAGTAAACATCTAAAATTACTTTGAGCCAAGATTTTCACCGAAGCGGGAAAAGATTCTTTTATTGTTTTCTATCAAAACCCTTGAAAGATTTCATCATCTAAACACACATTGTGATGTTGCTCTATTTTATAATTTAATAAACTTAATAATGAAAACTTTTTCATCGAGCATTTTAAACGATAAACGCTAAATATACTTATAACGGTGGCTCAGTACACAACAGAATAAATGAAAATAATTTTCCCATAGTGAATTTAAGAGGACTGAGGATAAAATAAAATCTAAATTAATTATCCATCAACATACGTTTAAACATACATGCATATATGCAGAAAACAATGCTTAGTACTCACTTTAGGGAATTCTCCGTATTTTTTGCCAACACAAGTTTTCCTAACAGCTTCCTAAAATTCGGTCGAATGAAAGATGAAGTAAAGTATGTTAAATTGTTTTTGACTTCTATTGTAGTTAAGGTTTTTCGGTTTATTTACCTTAAATTCGTCTGTTGTAATCATGCCATCCTAGAAATGATCAAAAATTAAAATATGTCAACATCATAACATTGACAACTTAATGTCATTAAGGTCTAAGGTTTCAGAAAAAAAGGTCTAGTTAATGAGATTAAGCAAAAAAATTAATTTTTTTTTGAGTTTCTTTCTTATATTTACTTAATTGAAAATTTACATGAATTATGGTTCTACAGATTGGATTTTTGTTTGCTTAGAAATAAAAATCACACTTGGATGTTGTTTACATCGTCAGATAAAGATGAAGGTAAAATTAAATTACATTATATTCTCAACATGAGTTGAAAACTATAGGAATCTTGTGAATATTCCGTGTGCGTTATTTTATATTCGGGTAGTTTTTATAACCAAAACTTTAAAGTAAATTCCGGAAATTGTAATGCTTTTTCATTTGAATTGGATTCTTTAGGAAATATAAAAGTCTATTTATATGAAGAATAAAAAATCTAATAGATGCAGAGATGCTTAAATGTGAACATATCAGCACGACAATAAAAGAAGCGTTTGTAGACATAATAGAAGAAAATTGGGGAAAAGTAAGTAAAAATATCTTCTTGCTGCCAAAATCATAGAAGATCGCAGAAGTGAGAAAGAAAGCCTTAAGATACTTATTTAGATCTGCATACTCGTAAATATCAAGGGTGAGTAAAATAAATATTTTTAGAAATCCTGGCTTGTATACTGACTTTATCAAAATCAGCAATGTCTGAAAGTTCCTCCCAAAGACTTCTCATCATATGCTGATATTCTTGTAGTCTCTTTTCGCTGCAGTCTCCCTTTCCTTCAATGATTGTGGCCCTTAAAGCTGTTATAAATGAGAATTTATTGGTCGGTTATCAATAATTCTAATTAAAAGGAGATTAAATATTAAGTTACCCATGCAATCGAAATCTTTTTGGTCGAGGAATCCATTATTATCGATATCTGAATGAAAAAAAAGGGTGAGAATATTGTTAATGAAAAAAATTATGCCCTTCTATGTATTTCTTCTACGAAAAGAGAATAATGAAGAAAAATGTTTATAATTCAAGTAGAAATTTAATAATTGAGGAAAATTTTCCTCTTTTTAAATATTCTTTTGTGAGAATTTATGCAGGAAATAATGCGACATTCACATTGAAATTATGAACGAAAAAGAATCTTTGAGGCTAAGTATTGTAAATGAACATAAAAAGTATGTTGTGAAAAGTAAAAGCACTTGCAGGTTTCATGACTTCATTTGAGCATTTTTTGAAATTAATTTAAAAACATTTAATAGAGATGAGCTAATGTCGACTATAGACAGATATAAACAACAGCATCATATTTCATTACAAGCTAGGCACTTTTCACTCTTCACATAAAAAATATACATCGCTTTTCATTTTTCTTTTTCTTCTGGGAAATTATGAATGAAATTGTTCAAAATCAATTGTATTGTTTTATTGTGCATATGATTCGATTCATAAATCAATCAAAGTTAAGATCATTTTTAAATTGTTAATTATTAATTTTATATTTTTAACTTACCATACATATATCGAACAATGAATTCTATTCTCTTATCCCATGTATAATTTTTCTCAGACATTTTTATAGGTGATTATTTATTTAAAAATATATATTTAATTAACTAAACAAAATATTTCGCTAAGCCGTTTTTACTAATCTAGGAAGAGAAAAATTAAAAGAAAAAAACTTTAAATTTTCTTTTTAGTTGGGCAATTAACTTGAGTGAAGAAATGAAAATCACCACATAAAATGTCATTAAAATTTTCTATTTTTCTTTTCTTATTTTTTAAATTTTTAATTTTATACAAAGCGTTGCATTTTTTGGTTGGTCATACCATTTTTTTTAATCTGTTTCACGACAATTCACTTTAGTCTTCAAGTACGAGCATTCTTTATTTTTAAATAAATTTTTGAAGAAGATAAGTAAATGTAATGCATGCAGAGATAATTATATAAAAAGAAGCTGCTTAAATTAATCAACGTTCATTTTTGCTAAGGTTTCAGTCGTTTCAAAGTTCTAGTCAAATAACTGCTCGCTGCTCTTAAAAATTTATTTTTCTCTTTGAAGTCTAGTAAAGCTTTATGACTTTGACATATTAAAAAAGTTGAATTAAATTCGTTAATCAAAAATTATTGTAATGTTCTTTGTAATTAATCAACGCTTAATTTTAAATAATAACTTCAAAATAATTTGATTGGTATTTTATTTTTTAATCAAGTTAGTTCTGAGCTGTGTGAAACTGCAAAGGGATTTAAATTTAAATACTTAATGATCTTGCAGTTGCTGTTATGAATATCGAAAATTTCGATTAATACTTAAATTTTAAGTTAAACTCTTAAATGTCTTAAACAAAACATTCTTATTAATAATAAGATATTTCATATGATATAAAGTTCAAACAGATATTTTCATGTACTTCGTCGTTTATCTTTAGATTTCTTATTGAAAACATCAAATATTTTTCGATCCATATAACGAAAGCTTTGGAAAGTAAAAAGTTCAAGGGTCGAATTCCCAAAGTATTTTGTAAGACATTGTGGGTATGAAATGAGAAATATTTGAGGAAAATATTTTGATAAATATTTCCTTGATTTTCATGATAGCTAAGAATTATATTTTATTAAATTGTTTGTTTCACTTTTTAACTCAAAATTTGTAGAATTCTTTGGTACATTTCTTTATGCCTATTAATAATTATATTTATTTTTTATTTTCAATCACATTCACTTAATTCTTTAAATTTCTAGTCAGTTCACTAAAAAATAATTTTTATTTTTTCATTCACAATAATTTAATTTTATTAAACTTAGAAAAAGAACAGTTTGATGATATTATTTTCCTTTACCTCTGGCTTTTTGCTTGTTCGTCCCACAGTGGACCATAAAATACTGAAGTTATAAACGTGCTGTAGTTTCCATTGTAAGTCCTGAGTGATGAAGTCGTCATGCCAGAGAGATTTTCTGCTCATCACACTCTCGCTCTGCACTCATTTTTATGGTTTTGAATTTTTTTTCTTTTCCTCTCTGTTAGTTTATACGAATCCTTTCTTTTATCAATTATTTTCATCTAATTGAAAACTTAGGAAACATGTTTTTCTCTCGCAAATTCTCTCATCACTCGCACTCGTGGCAATTCCACTTTGAAGATTTTTCTGTGTTATTCAGAAGTTTCAAGTTTCACCTAAGCAAAAATACAAAGTCCCAGAAATAAGTGAATTTAAATATAAAACTAAATGTGAAATTTTTTATTTATTTTTGTTAATTATTTTTTATTATTATAAAATCCTCTTCATTCTTTCTTTCTTGTAAAATTAAAAATAGTTTCTTTCAAATTTGTAGGCAGTCAAAAGCTTCATTTATTTCTCTTGCGATTCGTTACCTGTTGATTCTGTTTTGTTTTTTTTTTTTGCATTTAATAAAAACGTGGAAATATGGGAATATGAAATTATTAAGGAAAGAAAGAATTTTCTCTCATAACAAGGTTAAAGAGATTATTTTCTCTTTTTAAACATTACCGCATGAAATTTTAATTTGGACATATTATTCATTTTTAAGTCAGTAGAAATTGTAATAAAATTAGCAATTCTAGAAAATTCGTGACTTATCGAGTACAATATATTCACAAAAAGTGAAGCAATTTATTCATTTGACAATTGTTCATTTATATTTAAAGAAATTCGAAAAATGCTGATTACATCTAAATTAATTTAATGATGTTGACGAGGTGACTAAAATTTCAAGGACTGAATGTTTCATTTTTAAATGGCTCGCGGTTAGTCTACACTTATTTTTACTTCTCAACTTGATGATATTTCATTGAATAGAATTATATATAAGATAGAATGTAATATTAGATCAACATATATATTATACAATTATGTATTAACATATACAATATATTGCATCTAAATTTTTTTATTTTTATGTGATAAACCATAAATTCATGAGCATTATCAGACATTGGATATTTAATTTGATGACACACATATTTAACAAAATTATGATTTCATTAATCATATTTTTTTTTGAAGCAAATAATGGCAATTTTGTCTTTGTCTAATGCCGATTTAATGAAGACATAAATTTATTAATTTTATCTTCTTCAAGATGACTTTTTATAACACTGTTTAATGGATCGTCTATTTTCATGTGAAAACAAAGTTTGGATGAAAATTTTATACTCTAGCATAGATACTGATAATGTATAACAGTTTATTTTTGCCAAATATACGTTCATTTCTTATGGTTTTTTGTATTAACAAAAAAAAAAAGGGAATTGATTCAGGAGAAGCAAAATAATGTGTTCAATTCTTCGTGAGTTTTGAACGCATTTGATTAAATTTTGGTTTTATTTTAAATACAGCATGTAGAATTCGCAAGAATACTGTATGCGAGTAGGGCTAAATAATAAACTAATGCTTAGTCGAAGTGTCTAAGTGTTCTATTGACAAGGATATTAGATTAATTTAGGTAACTTGTTTCGAATTCGACTTGTTCATTGAGACAGTTGCGCATACATTATTTAACTAGCTAGACTCCATACAAAATTTCATCGACTTCGAGCTTTGATTATTTGTTAAGAAAAGCTGTCTAGAAATTAATTGATAATGAAAATTTAGAAATAAAAAAGGAACTCATTAATTTAAAAATGTTTTAATTTAAACCTTCACTTGAAACTGTGAAGCACTAGTCTATATTTAGTAGAAGCTAAATAAAATATAAATAAATCGCCATTTTATTGTGAAAACTTTGGACAAAACGTGCTTGATTTTGAGCAGGAAAACAAGATATTTAATTGGGATGAATTGATGTTTAAGATTTAAACATGATATTCAGGATGTGCTAAATAAAAAAGACCCGCAACCGAGTAAAAGTAGCATTAGAAATTCTTTGACTAATCGCCAAATGAAAATCGTATCATGCGGAAATTCAAGCTAGATGCAGTGCAATTTCATCAAAATTTATTCATACATTATATATAATTTTTCAAACTTAAAAATATCAGAAAAAAGTGAAACAATGAATAAAAGTAGGAGACGTAAAAAACTTTTTTGGCCTTCGCTTCAAAATAATGCAAGAAGAAAAAATGCAATAAATTTGTCTTGGTCTAATATTTTTGCCTCAAACTTGCAAATCTTTCAAGATCTCTCACTATTTAATCACCGAATGAATCTAAGCAAATGTATTGCAACATAACAGTGTGACTAACAAAAACATTCTTCTTACATTATATTAGTGTGAGATTCATGAAATGGCAATTAGCGATGTGTCCTTAGAGGCATAAAATTCACTTTGAATTATATTGTTTAGTGTTTCAATTCTCAAATTAATTCAGTTTGTTGAATACTAAAGGATCGAAATTTTCGTCTCATATTTCCTCGTCTAAAGCAACTAAAGAATCAACGAAGATAAAATAGTGAATGTAAACGGAGCATCAATTGTCTTAATTATTGTATGATGAAATAAAAGTAGAAGAAGAATGAGAAATTGAGAAGTGAACATCAAGAAAGTATGAAACTTCAACGACAGCTGCTCGCATTTGCTATGATAGTAACTTTACTCACTTCAAAAAAATGTCAATCTAACAATTGAGAAAATTTTAACATGAATTATTTTTTCCGCCTGAAAAGTAGGATTTAAAACTTTAATGAATGTGCTTAATTTAATATTTCCTGTTCGAACAATGATCGTGTCGTTACAGAATCTATGGTTTTGAAGGAGAGTAGAATGAATTTTCGAATCATATATTTGGAGACATGGGGCCAGTCTTTCAACCTTTACTTATTTTACACATTACATGTATTCGCATTAAAAGTTATACTACCCAAAACTGTGTTTAAAGGTTCACATTCGTAATTAGTAATTTGAGAGTTTTTTTTCACTATCTCTCTTGGATTCTTCCGTTTTGTTCAAATATTACTGTTCACAACCTCGAAGAAAATAATTGAATATCACAAGGCAAAAGAGGGCAAAAGTAGTAAAAGAGTTTTAATTATATCTTTGCTTCTTTTTGTTGCAAAATTAAGAGAACTATCAATTTATTTTTAAAATTAAAAAATTAAGCAACTTATAAATCATCACCATTAAATTCTTATTACTTTATAAATCCATCATAAAATGCTTCAGAATAATTATTATTTAATAATAATAATAACAAATTGAATAAAAAAAAATATCAATTTTTAAAATAAAAATTTTGTGACGACAAAATAACTTTAAGCGCAAATATCACTAAAGGAATGATTAGTAGATTTTCACTTTTAAATATTTTAACAAATATTTTCAATTTTGTCCGTACTTTCTGGTGGCTTAATAGTTTTATCATCTTTTATTGCTGTTGGTAGCTCTTGTGGGAGTTCTTGGGTGCTTTGCTCTTGCTGTTGATTTATTTGATTTTGGATTGACGTAATATCTCGATTGAAAACATTATTAGTTGGAACTTGATTTAAATCGTTACGTTTTATATAGTTAACAGGAACAAGACCAACATTGTTTCCATCGACAGTCGCAAGGAGCCAATTTGTTGAAAGGAGCCGATTAAGTTGTTGTACTTCTTTCGGAGCAATTCGAACAATCTGACCAGCTTTAACTGATAATTCAGATGGCTGATCAGAATTGAAATTATAAAGAACAACAGCTTCTATTGGGTTAATCCAGGAAGCGGGATTTTTAGCTGTGGAAAGAATTTTGATTTTTTTTTTAATGAAATAAAGAAAAAATTAAATGAAAACTTACATTGATCATCAGTCGAATTCATGAGTGACCCAAAAAGCTTCATGATTAGATAAGGAGCAGTAAAAATGAAAGTCAAGAACAAAACCATGGCAAGACCAGAACTATTTTGTTGTGATGCATTGAAGAAGTCATTTGATTGGACTTTTTCAGCGTCTTTAAAAGCTTCACTTAAATTAATTTGTGTTGATGGATTGATTTTTGATAAGCCAATCATGTATAATAATTTTTTGTAGATCCATATAATCGAACGGAAAATTGCAAAAGTTGAGAAAAATCGACCGAAAAATCCTCGAAGATGAGAAAAATTAGCAGCTAATCCAAGTATTGCACGAAATGATGATGTTAATGCAAAATATGTTGAATCGAGCATAGTTGCTATGTTTCCGATGGTGGATACAACAGATTCTATACTTTGAAAGGTTGACCTTGAACTTTCTTCAGCCATTTGAATAAATCTCATTTCTGGATCAAGTGGATTTCCTCCTCCATATTGTGGTCTCCCAAAACCACCACCATATCCAAATGAATTAAATGAATTGTATCCTCCCATTCCAAAAGATCCATATCCATTACCAAAAGATCCATATCCAAAATTATTTCCATAAGGTGATCCATAAGCTGACGATGACGTTTGGAAAAGAGAATTGGGCCGTGGTGGCAGAGGTGGTGCTAATTGTGATTGCTGCGTGGTATGTATAATACCTGTAATATGAGTATTAAAAACGTAGATTAAAATATTAAATGATAAGGAATAACAAAGTAGAGTACCTTGTGGTGTTTGTATGGGATATTGCCCTCCAAAGACATCTCCATTTGTTTGATGTCTGTAATTTACGGGTGCATAATTGCTTATCATTGGCGACGATGACGAAGAGTTTAAAGTCATGTTTTATATGCAAATATTTATCGTTTCAAAAAAAAATTATTGTGTGATTTAAAACAATTTTTTTTTATGTGAGGGTCAAAGTCTATTAAATTTCGTTCTAGAGTGATCTATTAATTACACTTTTTTATGTTTTTTTAAATCAAAATATCATATTGGAAATCACCATTTCATTTTTGAACCAATTTACAATTTTTAAAACTTGAATAAAAGAATTAAAAAAGTTTCTAAAATTTACAAGTTATGGAGACAACTAAGACCCATATCACTAATGTAACCTTACTTCGCATCATGCTGGTATCATGCTACTAAAATTCAAATGTGCAGTCAGATTTTCAAAGTTAGATTTGTTTGATTACAAGAACCTTTAAAAGTTTACATGAATGAAACCCATTTCAAAATATAATTTTATTTAAGTTTTAGAGGTATTTAATAAATGTCATTAAGTTATATTACATATAAATCTACCTGAATTTTTGTAAACAAACGTTATAATGCATTTGCACTTTACGATGTAGAATTTGTAGCTTTTCGTTGGACCTGAAAAAGAAGAAAGTTATGCACTTTGATGTTTTTTTTAGGGCATTGCTTTATGATTCTCCTGCCATACAAAAAAATTGTACTTAAAAATTTTTATTACGATTGAAATTTTCAGTCTAGGCATTAGCTTATGATCAAAAATGATATTTCCAATTAAAAATCTGGTATGAAAAAGTGACAAAAATCATAACTGTGTGACATCATCGGTATGGGGATTTCGTCATTTGTTTTGAAGAAAAAACGCAGTAAAAAGAGAAAGATCGATAGGAAAAATTTATAAATTCTAACAAGAAAATTGTTAAAACTAATCTAAAAGTCGAAAAAATGAAATGAAAACAATTAAAACGTGATTTTAACACTTGTAAATATCTCGGTAATATGAAGATTTCAAGAAATATCAAAGATTTGAGGCAAAAATAATAAAAAAAAATTTCGCCCTTTGTGAAAATTTATTTTTTTGAAAATTATCACATTTTCATCATATTTCGTTATCAAATTATGTGATTCATGTGTTTTTCATAGTAGAAAATAATGTGTAACAAAAAATTATCAGTTTTGATAAGATTTAAGCAGTCAATTTGAGGAAATTTAATTTTTATCATAAATATCGATTTTTCATTTATTCACTGTAGGCACTTGCTACATATGATTCATTTCTGTGTATTTGTGCTTACAACTGTTTTCGCCATCGGAATTTATTTACTTTTTTTCTTCTTTTACGTATTTCTGATTTCTGATCATCTTTTTTTCTCTATATTCATTTCTAGATTGTTTGTAAATAGCTTTTTGTAACATTTTTATTATTACAAAAAAAAAAAAAACAATAAACGAAAATGACAGAGGAAGGATTAGATTTAACAACATCTATGGATTTTTATCTAAACAGCTCAACTTTGAGCAATGGATTGGGAGATGTTCTCCTGTCGACGACCGAAAAACCCTTTGCGGAAAGTATTAATGAAACTTTTCAAAAAGTTATTGGTACAAAAGAGATGGTATGTATACATCCATTAATAAATTAAATAAAACTAATTAATATTAATTATTATTTACAGCCGCAATTATGTCTTGCTCTGTTATTTTGTTACTTCTGGATAATATACATAACTTTTTATAACTCTAGGTTATTAGGATATTTACTGACAAAAGCAGTCAATAAATTCTACTTCAGATATGCATACTTTAAAATAGGTAGTGAAATTATATTCTTAATTGATTTTTTTTTCTCATGCTTATATATTATTTGTAGGATCAATTTCAATAAATCCTTTAGCCGGAAAGGTCATGTTTCGTGACCTGGTTTACATAAATTATGACTACTCGATACGAGTGCAAGATGGTTTTTTTATATTTCGGTGGTGGAGACATTATGTTCCGAAAGATGTTAGTGATGCTCGAACTGACCTTTCTCATTCTGAAACAAGATTGTCAATTATGCTTAATGGATTCGAATTACATATATATAATCGCTCTGATTTATATACGGAGGTTGAAAAAGCTTTTGGTTTAAAACCATCAATTTTAATTCCAAATGAAAATTTATCGGCTGAGGAGATTGCAAAGATCAAAGAACAGGCTTTAAATTTAGAAAATCAAAAGATTAGTAAGTCAACCAAAAAGAAAGCAAGACCAGAAGCAATGAATGCTAGAACGTGGAGAGATCTAATCCCAGTGATAAAGGTTGATATTTCATCAGGACGTTTTTCATTTGGAAATCGATTGATTCCTACAACATTATGCATATGTTTGGAAGAAGCACATTGTGTTTATAGTACAAAACCTGCAGTGAATCCGTTAGATAATTTTACTCATTTTGTGAAAGCAAAAGTTGAGAATGCAAAAGTTCTTTTAGCACCGAGTCCAAGATATGTCGGTATAACTGACGAACCTCCAAGATTTATGGGTGAAGGCTTTGTAGTAATGATGAGTAATTTTATGGAATTATATTTTTATATGGATGAAGCTGGTCTTGTTCCTGACGAGCCAGTCTTGAGAAGATTAGCTAATGGAGATATGGTTGAAGCGACAACACCTCCAATGTGGGGAATCGATATTAAATGTGGCAAAGGAAATAGTAATATTAGCTATGGTCCATGGGCAGATCGTCAAAGAGATCATTTATACAAATTTTTTTTCCCTCAAACCTTTCAAGATATGGAGGCTACTCCTGTACAAAAGCCTGGAGAAAGGCGAATTGTTCATACTTTCGATGTCAAGTGGAGTACTATGACAAATGCAACTATTGATATTTTATTTTCCAAAGAAAAAGAAACTAATGCCGTTCATATTAATATTGGTGCTGGTAGTTATCTTGAAGCAGTATTACCATGGATTACATTAAAAGATGGATATTCAACTAAAATAACTGGTCAATTTTTGCATGTAGATGCAACTACTTCATTACAATATAGAAGCTTAGCAGAATTCGAATCTTTACATTTTAATATAAAGTTAAGTTATCCATTGCGTTGGAACTCACATCAAGATTGGTCCATTAACCTTGTAGGAGATAAGGCGACTGCGTTTATTGTATTTGATCATAAAGTGTTTTTTCAGGTAATAATATTATTAATTTTTAATGCTGTAATCAGTTACAATATCAAATTTTTCCATAATTTTTAGTATCTTATTGAAGATTGGGTTAGTAAATCGCCGCCTGACATATTCACATTCATTCCGTACACCTGCAAATTTTCAATTTTAATGAAGGAATTTGAAATAATTACGATTAGTAATGAATATAATTGGATAGATTGTTCAAGTACTAATCAAGAAAACAATCATTTAGCATTTTGTGGCGATTTATTCGATTTAAGTTTTGCTCTTCCCTTTGATGATTATTTGCCAAAAACCGTTACGCTTAAGTTTTGGATTCATGGAGAATGTTTAGATCTGGGTCTTTATTTGCCTGAAATTTCAACTAGCAGGCCAATCGTTTTGGCTATGGATGAGAATGCATCAATTTTGTGTCGTGATGGACAAGTGAAGAAGAAAAGTGAATTATATGCAAACAAGTGGAGACGAGTTTGTCTTCGAAAAAATGGTTGGATTGATTGCTGGAGTGTTCCAATTTTAGCGTTGTCTATTCAATACGTTTATCATCCGATGCCTGCAATGGGTCCTGATCCACAAGCTGATCAAAATCTTACAACACCTGAAAAGGAAGAAATACTATTATCTCCAATGCGAATTCCTAAATGTAAAAAATCTTCAAATTATACATGGTCAAGTTCACAGCAACAATTTGATCCTACCTCTTTAGAACCAGATGAAGTAACAGTTGAAATAGAAATAGGATCTTCGGTATTATACGCTTATGGATCAATACTCAAACAGTTCTATTATTTGAAAGAAAATATTTTTGGTGAAGATCAACATTTTACTGATATGGAAGAGTCGAATGTTAAGAACAGTTCTCGAAAAAATTTAAATCTTCATAGCTCAGCTACTAAAAATCAACAGCCACAACAGCAGAAGGAGAAAGACGATTTAAACAAGTCAATTTCAGAGGCCCCTTCATCTATCGATATTGAAGAAAAGCCAAAAAGATTTGACCCTCGTGTTTATCGAACATTAAATGTAAATGTTTTACTAACTATTCATGATATTCAAGCTCATTTAATGAAAAATTGTAATAGTGACGATCCGCCATGTCCTATAGTTTTAATAGAACGATTAGGATTTGAAATGGAAAAGAAACATCACGAAACTCTCCTTCAAGTGCTTGTTTCGCCTGCATTCCTAATTACACCTGATACATATTCACGCCCGTCAAAAGAAAAGCATTTAAAACAAGGTCATCTATTATTGTCAGCTTTGCAAATTCGCGGACATGCTATGTTCAGTAATGAAGGTCGATCTTTAGACGATGAAACCTTAGAATATGCATGGCTTCTTGAAATACAACTAGGAAAATTGTCCGGAAAATTGTCATTGCCTCAACTGACACATGTTTTACTTGGACTAGAGACAATGGCATATCTTGCACTAGATCCAGAAAATGATTTAAAAAGTCCAAAATCATTAATTTATTGTCATCATGGAACAGCTGTTAATATATGTCCTCATACAAAGGAAGAAATTAAATATCGATGTCCATCAAGCGAAGACATAAAATATAGAATGCTTCGAGTAGCAATCGATGCAATAGATATTTATATAGTTGAAAATGGATGTGCTTTGCACTCATGGATGTCTCCAGTTCGATTTGCAATGTGCAATTTACATGGGCTTCAAGTCAAAAATGGAATAACCGTACTTGTTCCAAATGTATTGTTACGTCACTTTGTATCAACAGGTGGTCATTATACACAATTTAACGGAAATTCACATAGTAATACAAATACAACTGGTAGTGGTAGATCAGCAAAATTATATAGTCAAGCATCAAAGTCAGATGAAAAGAAAGAAGATTTAAATTTATTGGTGAAACGTGGAGATGAAGCATCAATCATTGCCAAAAAAGAGAATGAATATGGCCTTTATAGACGAGGATCTAAGGATAAGGATCAAGATACAATTTATGGTTCACTTCGTCGATCTCGTGATGAAACCCATTTCAAACGTGATGATATTTACGCTTCTATTCATTCTCGTGATAAAACTCGTGATAGCGATAGTTTTCATGAGCCTTGGCTCGAAGTCGGTTGTGTTTCTTTTGGACCCTTAATTTTAGAAACAGCTACGGCTTTACCTATACCAGAACATTGCTTACATCTTGTACAAAATGACTATTTAAAACTTCACGATGAGAGATCAAAAAGACTTAATTTCCTTTGGTCTTCAACAACACTAGATACAGTAAAATGTGGTTGTTTAGGAGGTTGTTTATTTTTTGGCTCAAATAGAAATGGACCCAAATTCTTCAAACCATCAGCGCAAGATTTACAAGATGGAATCAATATAGCAAGATATCACATTATATCAACTAAGGAATATGGGTTTGGGCAAAGCTTATTTCATGATGGTCTCCTTGTTTTTCATACACCTCCATATAGCTTACAATCAATCTCATTACAAGAATGTTTTGAATATATTAATAAGAACACTAGTAGAACATCTAAAAGTACTCTAGATACTAAGTCACCTCTTCCTCAAAAACATGAAAATAATATCCATAATCAACATAAAACTGAAGTTTCTCCAAATAGTACATTTATTCGAGATAAATCAGGAAGATCAACATTAGAGCGAGCAAAGGAAAAAGATAGCAATTCGCCTATAACAGCCGAAAGACGTGGCAGAAGGTTTTCGTATACAAATGCTAGGTGAGTAACCTTTAAACAAATATTCAGTGTAAGAAATCAGGGCAAAATCGATTATTGTGTTCAGAAAGAATACTAACCCAATTAAGAAAATATGGTCCTAGATAAAAAAAAAATTCGTAGCAACAGGTGAAAATTTTCAACATCTCAGAAATATTTCGTATAATGCTACAAACATTCATTTAAAATGATTTAATAATTTATTTCAGAGATCGAAGCCGATTTTTTCGGCTTAACTCAATTTTTGATTTTTTTGATAGAAAAAAGCTATTTAACACACATTTCAAGTATTTAAATTGAACTTTACATGCTTTACTATGATTCTGTGTAATATTTTGTCAGCATGTAGCTATAGTGAGCTCAGAATTTCAATTTAGCCGATTTTAAGCCGAAATTTAAGCCGATCGGCTTAAAATCGGCTAACTTGAAATTCTGAGCTTACTATAGCTACATGCTGACAAAATATTACACAGAATCATAGTAAAGCATGTGAAGTTCAATTTAAATACTTGAAATGGGTGTCAATTGGCTTTTTTCAATCAAAAAAATTAAAAATTGAGTTAAGCCGAAAAAATCGGCTTCGATCTCTGATTTATTTACCTATGAACTTATGCATTTGGTTAAAATTACTGATTTTTCCAAAAAATACATTTTTAGACATGATGTCCCATATCGTTTATTGGATTCGAGTCCAAAGCCTCAGATTAAACTTGCTGATTTACGTCAGCATCATTCACAGCGAGATGATGATGTAGATATGCTTTCCAAGTCAGCACCACAAACTTTTAACTCAATTCCATCAGATTCAGAGCATTCACTTAGTCCAAAATTATCTGATGAAGTAACATTGAGAGATGTACAGAGAACAATATCTCTAACATCGGAAAATCAATCAGAAGCTTTCTTCAGTGCAGACGAGGATGTTCACGCCTCTAGAAGCTCAAGCTTAAAAACAACTGATGGAACTTTACCTTTAGTAATTCCTAAGAAAAGATTTGCATCAGATTTGAGTATAACAGGTTTACCGGATAATGGAAAATTATCGAGTCATAGAAGTGATTATGAGATTCACACGCCAGAACATAGGAGTCTGCCAACGAGACCACAAAGTACTGCAGAATTGGTAAGTTTCTATTTAAAAAAAGTAATTTAATAACTGAGTTTTAGTAGAGCTTGAAATAGTTTCATACTCAATAGTTCGTATTAATAATAAATCGTTTTGTTAAAAGTAATTAGTGTAACAACCTTTAAACCTTAATTACCTTCATCATTTACTAATACTAATTCTTTGAATAATGTAATACGTTAGACTGAAGACGAGAGAAGGTTGCATAATTTAGCGACGCCTTTAAGAAAATTTAATAACATTTCACCACGCCCAGTGTATTTTAAACCTGTATACGACGTGAGTAGTGCTCCTTGATTAATGTTAAATGTCTGAAATTAAAAACAAATTCGTAGAAAATTCTAGCTAATATTATTGTTTGTTTAATTTGCTGTTAAATTTTTATTCATCTGCATTATTAGAGTATGGTTATTAAATTATGATTTCATTAAATGTTTCCATAATAGCTTATGACAATATTCTTTAACAAACTATTTCTTTTAAGATCAATCCTGATTCATCTGAGTCACAATCTTTATCTTCAAACTCATTCATATCAGCATTATCATCACAAGAAGACATGACACTTGTCAATTTACATATGCAAGCAAATAGACCAATTGTTGATTCCCCTCTTTTAATGGCATCATATCTTACACATCTTGCTCAGGTAAATTATTGATATTGATATTATTAAAAGTATGATTTTACAATTTAAACACTTTTTTCAACAGGTTCGCTGCTCAAATTGGTCTAACTGTTCACTGCCACTTGGATCGGATGCATTTTCAATGCCATTATTTCAAAAGAATGATGATGGCGGATTAGTTTACATTGGTAGCAAACTTGTTCCTCATTTTGATAATTATTCACACTGGCGAGAAATAAAAATCATATCACGTTTTGATGCGAGTGCCTCTACAAATAATTCTACTATTCCTCTATCATGTGCAGCCCCTCCTAGATCACATCCATGGGATCCAATGGTTCTTATTAGAAATCATGATCAAGAAAAAGAGAAAAGTGAAGGTAATAATAAATCCGACGAAGAATTTCTCGGGACATTCCATGGTGACACACCAGCATCTCGTACTTCTATAGTTTTGCGCTTTAAAGGACATATTGATATTATGCTTACACCTTTACTTCTTGAATCAAGTCAGCGTATGGTTGAATCATTGATGCCAACACTATCATCATTACATCCATTAACTGTGATTAATACTCTACATAACTCATGTGTTAGTAAAGTTGAAGCGATGAATATATTAAAAAGAGATCAATCCAGAAGTTATTGGTCACAAGTTCATTCCAATTCTAAACGTTCTACGACTGAAAGAAATTTACAAGCAGGCATGCCAATTATGACTGATATGTACGAAGAAAGTATTTCAACTCAACTACAAGGTTTGGTCGTATTACCGAAAGTAAACATTTCACTGATACAAGCTGCAGTTGTTGAAGAAGTCATATCGTTTGCAGCACTAGACAATATTCAAGAGTTAAGTTGTTCTAGCTTACTCGCCGTATGTTTTGACAATATATCAATGAAATTTCATATTGGTAAACAAACAAAAGCATGCATGCAAACTGTTTATACTCAACCAACTGTAAGATCGGGTATGGGATTGAAGAAAGGTGGCCTTATAAGCAATACAAAAGCATTTATTGCACATTTATCGAACGCAAATCGTCCAGAAACCGGACCTTTGGAAGCAATTCTTATTGAAACGTCAGAAAATCAGTTGGAAGAACTAGTGTTAACACTTGATATTGGAAAAGCACATGCTCAATTAAGAAGACTGAAAAACGAAGGATTCTCACAAGAATCGCAGACAATAATTACTGCAATTCCTTCCCATCGAAGTCGTGCAATGTTTGATTGTACGAAATTTCCTGAAGAAAATAGTGATTTAAATGGTTTAGGTTTTATAATGTGTGAATGTGGTCTAGAAGGCATTAGTGTAAGAATTGTTAAACGATCACAGTTTGAGAAGTTTGAAAATAGTGACGATAGCTTTAAAACGGTAACAGAACAAGCAAAACATGTTACAGATCCAACAAATGCAGGAATGAATATAGTTCAATTGTTTAATGAAGGGGGTTCAATGAAAGCCGCTGAAGCTATAGCGACAACTGTTAAACAGATGACAATGAAGAAACCTTCAACTCCAAAACCTTTCGTAGGTCCCCGTGAAAGTAAAATCAAGCAACCCGAGCAAAGAGATTCTTTTAGAAATTTAAATGAGAAGGAAACTGTCATAACATTGGATGATGAACCTGAAATTAATGAAACTCCACAAACAAAATTAAATTCCACGCCTATAAATGCACCAAAAGAACCATCTCCTGATAATGGAAAAATTTCATCATGTGTAATTGATTTAAAAACTACTTGGTTCAATTTTGCTGCACCTCCTCGTGCTCCTATAACAAAGAAAATTGATTATTCACGACTTGATTGGAATCTTTTATCAACAGCCGCTCCATCGATTACAGCATGGATGAATCCTGCTAACAAATTGGCGATCAAAGTTGTATCTTTAGTTCGAATGTACTATCAAAGAGAAACAGCAGTTATTACATCTCTTATGTGCGAGTCATTGGAAGATCAATCTAACTACCGATTACCAAAATCACGTTATCCAATGAAGTTTACTCCAATGGCAAAGACGTTACAGGATGATTGCAGCTGCAAACTTTTTACTATTATGCAAAATTTTGTTGCAATGAGAACAGTGAAAAAAATTGAGGAAAATCTGAAGCACCAATTTGTGCCACCTTTGTCAACACTGAGACAGGTTTGGTTGACCTTAGAGTTTCAAAATATTGTTGTTACTATTTGTTTTAACTTTTAGGGTGTCATTGTGCTTAGTCGACAGTGGAAGTCGATTCTTTATAATCCAATGTTGTTTGAACATCAATACAAAAGGAAACTTAATAGACCTAGTGTCAGTGTGAGATATTCAGGACAAGCTGCTGAAGAAGTAAGTTGCAAATAATTTAATTCTGTTGATTTTGCTCACATCTTTTAGTCGTTTTGGAAAATTAGAAAAACGTGTAAGAAAAATTAGTAGTTTCCCTAATTATAAGTTCTGGAATTTTATTTTTTGATTTGAACTTTATGATTTTCCACTTCAATTTACAAAAATTACAGCAAAATTTAGGTATATATGGTAAGTTTTACAAAAGAAATAAATTAATGCCTGCTTAGAAAACTTAGGCAATGCAAATGCAATGCTGTGTCTTACTGTGTGAAATCATCAATTAGAAAAAAAAACTATCATTTCACTCTTTCCTGCACTTTTAATTTCTTATTTTTCAAAGCAAAAATCATTTAAAAAACTGCAATCAGAATTTCTCTTTTTATTAACAATTGAGCAAATACTATATTCCAAAAATGCATTTTTCTTTCATTAACAAACTTCACTCATTACAAATTTTACAGGATGAAGAAAATGAAGAAGATATTGCTGAAATACTGAATCCGACTATTGACAATTTACTTAATCCGGATGATGAAAACGAAAGTACTTTGTTGCTAAAGCAGCGTCCCTTAAGTCAACATGGTAAGAGATTTCATCATGTTTTCATTTGAATGTTGCCTTTTCCTTTGTATGTCTCCATCATACTATGGTTTGTGGCTTTCGGTTATGGATTGAACTTTACTATCGTTTGAATGTCTATTGCTAAACATTTTTTTTTATCATTTACTCTGTTTTCTTTGCAAAATTAATTAAAATTAATTTTCTTTAGTAATAAATATTGCGGATGAGCTGTCTAATATGCCGAAATTTTCTGAATCTGTGAATTCATCACCGAGTACGATTTCCTCGAAAAAGTAATGAAAATGTTGTTATTAAGTTAAAACTTTAATTTCATAATATTAAACTATTTTTTTAGAAAAAAGAATCAATCATTTAAGCATACTGTTCCTCCTCCATCGTCTCGTTCAAGTATGCAAATGTTTCCGATGATATCAGGCTTAGTAGAAAAGCAGGATGGCAAAATAGAATATGGAACATTGAAGAGTGGATCTATTCTTTCGCTTTGCAGTTCAAATGGTTCAAATGATCATCGAATTCCTCCTCCACGACCGCCACCACCAAAGCGATATCATCCTCAAAATGAATCTAATGTTAAGGATGATCTGTATTCATGGATGGCTAAGCAGCAGACATCATCAACAAAATTGGACGATATGAAAAATGAAAATTTCAGACCAATGTCACCATCAAGACCTAACATTTCAACATTCAGTGAATATCCTGTGCAAGATTCAGGTAGACTTCTTGATGCACACTTAATATTTGAACCACTGTTAACATGTTTAGGTGTGATGCCTACCAAACGTTATGATAACCAAACGGAATCATCTTTGGAAAATTTGGGAACAAACTTATCACTTATGTGCTTATTTGAAACGTTCCGAATCGATATTGTTGTAAGCGAAGCAAGTGATAAACGCCCAAAGGCAAAAATCACTAAGAAATCGAATGGTAAATTTTCATTAAATTGTGGAAATGAAACACCAGCATTTTTATCAGAGCGAATTGATATTGAACTTGAAATTGTTAAAATGACAGAAGGTCTGACAGATCAGAAGCAACTGTATATATCTCGAGGTCAATTAAAGAAACATATGAGTACAGTTATCAATTTCAGCTTAAATATACGCTACATTTCTCAACAAGTCAATATGCCATTGTTAAGATTGCTTCATCAAATATCAAATATGTACACAAATGTAAAAGAAGCACAAGATGAGATGAAAGAACAGCCAGAAACTAAAAGAAGTTTACCATTAAAAGACGAATCTAGTTTAGCTTCAGAAATGAATGATGCAACATTAATTGGTAGTATTCATGAAGCTCCACTTGATAATTTAGATTATAGTGATGAAAGATATGATAAATTCAATGAAATGTTAGCTTTTCCAATCGGTCATTCAATAAGTCGAACTAAAATGCCTCCTCTGGGACCATTAATTCCATTACCATCAACATCATCAAGTGGAAGACAGAGACCACCACAAAGTTTTGCCCAAAAATTAAGATCAACGGGAAAAACGGTAAAAGGGAAATTAGGATACACTAATCTAAGTGAAGCTGTTTCGACTCCAAATAAACCAAGCCCAACAACTCCAACATTTGAACATGCAGTTCAAAAAATGAATTTGGAACCCAAAAACTCGTTAACAGGAGCGATAATTATTGCAGAATCATATGGAGAAAGTTGTATACCACAAAGTAATCTTGAGAGCAATATAATCGAATCACCAAAATGCTGGACAACAATATATAATCTGCTCGACATTTATGCTACAATGCCCGAAATGAAAACTTTAACACACAAGTTATCTCTTTCGCCAGACACAATTGCAAATTTAAAGTCTAAGTTAAAGACTGGAAACTTATCGGAGAATCAACAAAACAATAATGATAGTAAAAATGAGTTTGATGACAAAAATAAAACATCAGATGCTCAACAGCTTTTACAACAAAGTTCTGAGAAAACTCGTATTGTTGTGTTTGGGGTAGTGAAAATTCACAAAACAAGGTTATTAGCTACACTCAGCGGTTTAAAACTAGAAGCTGAAATAACTTCATTCCATAGTAGCACAACATGGCGAAAAAAAACGAAACCAGCTGCATTAGAGTTTAGCTTAACAGGTCAAATTGGACGAGCAATGATTGTACTTCTTGAAGGTGTTGCGCCAAATCAACAAACTGTCGTAAAAGTCACTGTTGGAAAAAGTCAAACGCTTTATTCAAGTGTAACTAAGCGAGGAAAAGATAAAAATAATGGATTGCTTACTGTTGGAGCCATTTTTATTGATATTCCATTACATCCAATCCAATTACATGGAATGGTTACTCGTTCTTCAAAACAACTATCGAACACACTACAAGAATTGCGTGTAACTAGGTCATCAGCTCGATCTTCAAAACCAAATGAGGACTTGGAATCTCCATTGCATGCAAAAGATACAAAGGAAAAGAAAACAGTTCCACAACAACCTCAACAAAATCTGAAGACCAAGATAAGATCAACTCAATTGAACCAAAACGAACAGAATCAAAGTGGATTCTTACAACCTCTTGTTATGCAATTCAATGTCTTCTTTCAAAGTTTATCTATCACTGCTTCATTACTGCCATCATTACAAGCACAATATAAAATGGATAATGTAACAGGAAAAGGAACTTCTGGAGAGAAAGCGAATTTTACAATCGATTTACCTTCTCAATCATTGTCTTTTATAACCAAGGCAACTCCTCAAGATTCAAATGTGAATTTGCCTCCTCAAGCATCAATTCCATTACCTATAGTTCATATAAGAGCTGAATTCATCCCCGAAGAAGCAATAGGAAAAACTAGGGATACTCAAATCGATGGTGTTGTGCTTCGTCAAGGAGGCTATTTATCAGCATCAGCAGAAATTGGAGAATTTGAAAAATGTCTCACAACAGATTTACTTAATCATTTAGTATTTGTTCAAAAAGTTTTTATGAAAGAAATCAATGAAGTGGTTCAGAAGATATATGGTGGTGAAAAACCTGTTCCATTATGGCTTGAAGATCACGAAGAACAGCAACAACATTCAACAAATTTAAAGAGGATACTGTTTTCCTTAAATATTCATGTTAAACGTATTCAGCTGACTGCTACTACACCGTGCTCAAGTGCAGTTAGGTTTGAAACAAATTCAATAGATTTCCATCTTTCAAATCGTGTTAAGAATCTTGCAGATATATCCCATACTAAGTTATTTGGAAAAGCGCAAATTGATTTGAACCTTTCATTAGGACAGATCATTAAAAATGTAATTTTTGACGAAGCAGAGCCTGAATTCAAACAATATGCTTTCTTTAATACGACAATTGGTTTTAGAAATGCATTTCAAAATGAAATGTTGGATGACGACCGCGAATTAGTATTAATAACTTTAAAACGTCCACTAGTTTACTTTCAACCAATTGCAATAGATAAAGCAATTCTTGTTTGGTTGAATTATAAAACGGCTTATGAATATTGGGCAGAAAAAAGAGCAAATCTGAATATGGAAATTTTAACAGCTACACAGCAAGTGTTCGAGAAAGTTCCTTTTAGTCATTTGAGCTCATCAAATCTTTCAACATTATTTTTACAATTAACAGTTGAAGATATGGGTATATGCATGCCGTTAAACACACCACCATCAAATCATACTTGGGGTACACGAACAATTGTGCAAGACATTGAGCAAAAGAAATTTGTTGTCATAACGTTAGAAAACACAATCATATCAGCTTGTAGTTCGGGGTCTTTAGTATCGAAAGGAAAATTTGTAGGACTTTGCTTCCGTTTTGCTGATGATTTTGATTCTTGTTTAGATGATTGGAAACCAAATCTAGTAGATGATCTTATGAATTTATGTATTGTAAGTGAAGGTACATATGAAGTATGCTCAACAACAGTTGCATCTAAAAAATTGAACGAAAATGCAAAATGGTTCCTGAATGTTAAATGGCAAATGGAAGGCGTCGACATCAATTTAGACGTAAACATTGGAAAACATTTATCATCATTAGGTCATACGCTTACAATAATGCAAGCTGGCACTGAAGAAGAGGAAGAGGATCCAATCACTCTCGAAAGTCCAGATAGTGATAGCTATTCTGGAAAAATTTATCATGATGTTCATCAGAAACCTAAAAAAGCACTAGATTCTTTACCATCATTCTTATTTGATCCAACTCTGGATACAAAGAAGAGATCACTATTAATGGAAAATGAGATAAATGAACAAACAAAAGTAATAAGTGATTTAAGAAGCTTAGGAGCAAGCATAAATACAATTTTACACGAAGAAAGAAAATTAGAAGAACTATATGCTCTTTGCTACAAATATTTCCGAAGAGATATGATCCAGGTAAGGTTTCAACTATCACAATATTTTGTAAATATAGTAACAAAAGTTATTTTAATTAATCTAGAAATTAAAGCGACCATCTACTCTGAAGCGCTCAATTATGATGACATCAAATCGATCAAAATCATTTGTTGCTCCATCACCTACACATGATTCAGAATATTGCAGTGAGATTATAGGAACAATCGATGAATGCTCAGAAATGACCAAATCTCCTTCTTCTGGTAGTTCATCAACTTTTAAAATAAAAATACCACAACGTGTCCAATTTTCAGATACATTAAGAAGACAAGCATCTTTACCAAGTGCTGATTCAGACATTAGTTTTCCAGAGGGAGGTCCAGAATGGCCAACCCTATCATCATCATTAAGCGAAGAATCTCCAACCATGAATGTTGATGGTGAAAATGTTGAGTTGAGACGCAAAAGTACACAGTCTAACACACAAAAACCGCATGAGCCAAACATAGATTTTGAGCTTGATGTTAAAGTGGTAATTAACTCTGGAAAATGTGTGTTACATACAAAAGAAATGAGCGATGAGAAACTTTCAAGCTATGCAAGTGCTGTGAAGACACATAAGCGTGAAAGAAGTTTAGGAAATAACGATTATAATAGTCCACTGCCATCAAGAAGAAACAAAGACAAAACTAAATTTAAATACAATCCTACATCACTTATTGATTTAACAGCCTTTCACATACCTGGTTTAGATGTAAAATTGCATTATCAATCAAAAACGATATTAGAAGAAGCTTCATCAAAGAATCAAAGTCATCTTTTAGATCCCTTTGGAATGCCAATTCCATCTACTAACACATCACGTCGACTAAGTACCAAACGTGCATCATTATTTGCTTGGATAGTTTTGCAAAGTATTCCTGAAGAAACGATAATTTCACCACATATATTAGAATTTTTAGAACAAACACTTGAACCTTTGCCTACATCACAGTTTATGGCACCGACTTCTAATCCTGTAAATTTGGAAATGCTTGAGCATAATTATGTAGTCTATGCATCATTTCCGGTTGATGTCATAGTATATTTCCATATGAAGCCATCAACATTTAGATTTTCTTGTTTACCAATTTCACGCGTAGAATGTATGCTTCAACTACCAAGCTTAGATATAATATTCAGTTCTAAACGTCAGGAAGAAAACACTTCAAGTGATCTAAAAGAATCAAAGGTTAAAGCAATTGGAGGATTAAGTGTAACAGGGTGTCTAGCAGATTTTAATGTATACATATTCCATCCGTATGGTGGAAGTAGCAAGAAAGCAACAGCAAATAAGGAATCTCAACCTTTTTCACCACTCACTGATAGTGAACGGAAGGATTCACTAAGCATTTGTGTAGAATTTGTTAAATTTCATATTACAAGATCAAGAAAGTTGAATTTTGAGTCGAATTTGCCTCGAAAGTCAATAGATCAAAGTTCATCAAGAGCTAAGATACGTTTCAACAGTATCATTGATATAGGAACGGCATCTTTCAAATATGACATGAGAAGATTGACAGAAATATTAGCTTTCCCAAAAGCATGGTATCGAGGAAGTATTATTCGCCGTTTATTTCTTGGAGATCTTAGTGTTCAACAGACTAACATGAATGATGATGACTCAGAGACAATGTCAGCTAATTTAAATTCAAATATAAATCGTTCTCCGAACGAAAAATCACCATTGTTCCTTACAAAACAGAAAATGAAACTTAATTTGGAAAATGAGCTAAAAGGTGCTGTAAACAATGCAAAAACTAAAGGAAAATATTCAAACCCAGAAGCTGTGGGAACATCGCCGACCGGTGATCATCAATATTCATCATGGGAGACATTGGTTCTCTTTGCAATAAATTTTACAAAATTAAATGTCCAAATGAATATGGGAAATGTCATGGGAAATTGTCTTTGGTTATCTAAAGCATTTAGAAGTGATGGAAGTTTAAGTATTGGAAGTTCTGGATATAAAAACCTCTATATTGGATTGGGACTAGGCAGTTCATCACTTGAGTCGAAAGGTGGAATTGTAGGAGGAATAGTTGAATTAAACAGTATTCATACTCATTTACAAGTGTGTGAGGAACCAAATTATGAACCTGATCACAAAATTGGCATGAAATTTAAAGCGTTTGAATGTAAATTGGATTATATGGGTACAAGCGTTTTGATGATGCGAGTAAGTGACTTTAGTGCTGGCCTTAAAGATGAATGGAAACGTTCGACAAAATCATATTCCATTCCAAAACGACCACTTATCATACTTATTCATGGTGATTTGAAATGGGACCAAATACAAATCATGATATCACGAGCAACGACTGCTGATATACTTAAAATGTTTTACAAACTAGAAGATTTCTTTTCACAACAATTTAAATCATCAAAACGTGTATTCACAAGTTTAGAACCAAAATTACAGCAAACTGATAGTATGAGACGAAAGCAACAGCAGCAGAAAAAGAAATTATCGTCTTCACAAACAGATGAAAACATTCAAATGTCGATAGAAGCACGTCATCATCGTCATTGGCAAAATCCTCTTAAGCGTGCAATGGGAATGTATATTTCATCTCTAAAGAATCCACTCCCTAAAAATATTATGCTAGGTGGTACTATGGAACTGCATGGAAAAAATATTTCTTTAGCATGCTTCCATGGTATTAACTTTAAATCAAAGTCTTGGGCATTATTTAGTCTTCGCGAACCTTGCATAAATTTTGCCACGGAAGCTCAACAAGTGGAAAAAACTGGAGAATTCCATATCAACCAGACATTAACATTTGGCTTAGGCCTCGATATTCAACATTCCGTAGCTCAACATCATTCAATGGCAACCGTTGTAAGAATGACTCGCAATGTCATTTTTCCTCCTCAGTTTAAGACATTACAAGAGTGGTTCCATTATGCATTCACAAACAGTGAAATTGATGGTAATTATTTAATATTGTTACAATCAGAAAAATACAATTTTGTTTATTTTTCTCAATATTCTACAGACGTTAATAGATTTCCAATATTTGAGAAGGATTCGAGAGAACCAAATACAAATTCTATAGAACGCGAACGAATAAGAAGTTCAACATCGCAGCCATCAAATGTTAAATTACAGGACCACAATCATAATCGTGAAGTAATATTTGCATTGCCGAGCTTGCAGTTGCATTTTAAATCAGAGCATTTACAACCAATGGTTCCGGACTTAAAAAGTAGGATCAATTACAGGTTTAACTTTGCTATGACACTCTATTAATATTTTAATCCAATTTTCAATAGCTGATAAACCACTAGTGGAATGTAGTTTTATCACAAACTTTGAGGATCACTTGTTTGTAACAGTCGATGCGGATGCATTTTTCTTTTTGCATGACCTTATAACATCATATTTGAAGGAAAAAGAAAAAGTTGTGATTTCACAGGCTGCAAGATCAGGTTCACCAAATTTATCAGGTGGTGTTGGAGTTCAAAATCCAAATAGTCTTGAAGTATCATCAACGAATGTTGGTGCATCAACTTTGTCGATGGCAAGTGATAATATATCTGTGATGTCACATTTAGGTACATCAGGAAGTCAAAAGAATCTTTCAGCAGCAAATCTCTCACAAGCGTCTTCAGTTTCTAATATTAATAGTTCAGAAGATCTACGGCATGCTGTTAGCAGCAAAAAGATTTCTGGTGTGACAAGACTAGATAAAGTAGAAACTGAGATATCTCTTAGTATGGACTGGAGAAGCTTCAATTGTAAAACATGGCATTTGGAACCTACAATCAGGTAAAATTATTTCTTTTGCATGTCTATCAAAGTTTGATGAATGTATATATATTTTTTTTATAGATTATTATCCTGGGCAGGACAGCAAATAGAACCTTACGGAATAGATTTTATTTTGAACAAATTGGGATTTAGTCATGCAAGAACAACCATTCCCAAATGGATTCAACGAGGTTTTATGGATCCGTTAGATAAATTACAATCATTGCTGATTTTGCAGCTTATTTTAATGGTTGAGGAGAATAAAAACCAAGAAGAAGATGCTTCAAAAAAATTAAAGGATGCAGCAAAATAAAAAGCATGCGCCATTAAAACCATACACATATATGATAAAGATAATGCAACCGTGGATGATAAAATATAATCCAATCAAGTATTTATAACAAATATGAAACGACTATACTCATTAGCTAATTTTTTTAAACGTGGAAACTTCCTAAAAGGATCATAGAAACAATTGCATTTAAAATTATGTATAAGGAACTCTTAGCGATTCCTTTCTTTCTATACGTCTTCTTCTATCAACATTTTAAAACCAAAGGAAATAAAGTCTTACTTTTTAATCAATCTTTTTTGGACATGAAGGCTCAGCATAAACTATATAATTGCTGTGCTATTTATTGGAACATATAATAATTCGAAATAGGTGTCAATAAATAAATAAATTATACATAAAGGAAATGTATGTGTGTAGTGACTTTTAATCTAATTAATGACTTAACAACATTTCAGCAGTGATTTGAAAGTTATGAAAACTTTTGAATTATCTTCTATGGGGCCATTCACTTATTACGTAACGCTTTTAGGGGGAGGGGGGGGGTCCAAGATTTTGTTACGATTCAAACAACGAAATTTTTTTTTCATACAAATTTTGTTACGAGGGGGGGGGGGGGGGTTCTAAGAAGTCATTTTTTCGCGTTACGTAATAAGTGAACAGCCCCTATGTAAAATGAATAATAATCCCTAAATGGAAGTAATGAGTTAATGATAGACCGGAAAAACCTTTTATATCGTATCAAGTCTTTACTTTATAGTTTTATTCTCTTCATTTTTCAAAGGCTTAACATTAAATTATTGTTAACAGAGTTTTAATTCAAAATAAAGTTCCTAAATTCCTAATTGCTGCTTGCGAATTTTATGCATCTTTGAAATCAAATGCAACTTCTGTTCGTTAGGATTATTAAATGGTTTTCCACACAATTTACACTCCCTAGAATACATAGCTGTATCATCCTCTAAATCCTGAGCATGTTTAATTAATTTCTCCTTCATTATATATGGCATTTCATTTAATGGCGGAATCGATATATAGTCCCATATTGCGCCATGTCCAATTCTACTTGCAATCCGAATTGCATCTTCCTGATCAACATTCCACTTGAAACGATCATTTCCCATTTGTATGTCACGAACTGTGTGATTTTTATTAATTATTGTTAAAAATGATTCTTTAATATTTTTCAACAACTGTTCGCGTTGTCGATCATTTAAATTTGGCAGTTCATGAAACGGATCACGATACAACATTGACGACATAGCAAATCTTAAGCGATTTATGTCTGAAATGTCTTTTTCCATTAAATTAAAGTCAAGAGACTGTAATGCATCACGTTCATGAAAATAAGGTTTTTGATATTGTTCGTCTAATCCAAGTCCTGTTATTATTGAAATATATCGAGTTTTTTCCTTATCACGACGTAACTGTGCAACTGGACTAAAAACCAGTGCCAAAATGACCGATAATCCAGGAATATTTGGCATGGCTGTTGTCTCACGAACCTTCACATTTTGATTCTTTTCACCCAAACTGATGTCAGCAGCTACATAAAATTTACTATGTAGGCCGAGAATCTCGTCGTGTAATAAGACATGATTTATTGACGATGCATCAACACGAACATATCCTGTTATGTCACCAGAAATTGACCGCAAATTTGTCTCCAAAGGCGAGTAAGGTCCAACAAGTTTAATTATTTGATCACATTTGGACTTGTCTGGTCCATCCTGCTTGTGCCGTAGAATGTAATTTTTGTTAATAACTGACTCAAATTCAATTTTTGGATCTTGTGGTTTATCTAATATTCTAAAGGCATAACTTCTCTTTTCGTGATTAACTTTACTTCCATAAGATTCTTCACATTCTTGTGCATAGTTTTCATCGACTAATTTAGTGTTCCAATATATTGAATTTTTTCCATCGAATGTCTTTAAATCAACAATCACGACGTCATTGACGATTGAAAATACTTTAATTATTGCATCCTTGTTAAGCACATTAGCTTTAAAATATTCAATTGCTTCGCCTGACCACTTATTTCCAAAAGATTGCATGCACGATGGTTCAATTTCCTTCAATTTGCATTCGAAAACTCTTGGTGGATATGTCTTTAATTTGTTGGTGGCGATATCCTTTTGGAATGTGTAAATGTACTTTGGTGTCACTAGAATATTTGTTCCACGATCCATGACATAAATTTCAACAAGATCATCTCGAACATATCGAATCAATTCAGCACGGAGAATATCTTTTGCTTTTTTGTAAATAATTATTTGGCCTGGTTGTATCTTTTGATCAATATTTACTGGATCTAAAATAGCGGTCTTCAGCAGAGACTTAATATCCTCAAGAACACTTTCATATCGCCGATCAGGCAAATCAATTCTCGTATTATAAGCAACGCGTGGACAGAAGTAGAATTTATTGCAGTGTTCGACATGAGTAATAAATCCCTCCATTTTACTTGTTGATCGTGTTGGATATGGCCAATGTTCAGGATGTTCAATTTTCGGATAATGAAGTTGAAATTGAGATTGTTCACATTCTCCGTAGCCATGATCTAACGCATAATTCATTGATTCATGCGATGACATAACTAAAAGTTCAACTTTTCCTTGTAATTTGCACAACTTTACTGCTTTATAGACTTCTGGTGTAATTTGACCAGATCCAAAGCCCATGTCGATTTTGTTGAGTAAATGATCGTCCTCAAATGTTACGTAAACTCGTTCAGATCCAACACGATCAAAAATAATATTTACTTTTGAATTTTCATCACAAACTCCTTTTAGAACAAATGTCTCCTTAAGCTGATTTTTATATATTTCACCTACATTTGATCGATCCATGTTACGGAAATAAACAGTTCTGAATATGTCCAAATCAGTAAGTATTTGGAATGCATCACGTTCCATGTCGATTGTTGTATCAGTAACAAAAAAATTAGAGACACCGAAAGCTCCAGCCATAATTACTTTCAATACAAGAATGCTTTCCTTTGATGACCACCGAGGTTGATTTGGAAATGGTAAATTTTCAAACTTAAAATAACGCAAGCGTTTCTTTACTTCCGCTATCCATACGCGCATTTCATTTAGATTTTTAACGTCGAGACCATTTTCTATACACCAAGCTCGTTCTGCTTCGATTGATTTAAAATATTTCAGTCTGTGATGTTCGAACCTGTTTAAAAATCATTTGATATGTAATGTAATGAAATGTGAGGGAATTATAATTAAGCTCACCAGTAGTTATAAGCATTAAATGTTGCCAAGCAATCAGATCCAGTTCCATCAGACCAATACATCTTTCTACAATAAGCTCCCATTTTGTCAGTCAATGAATTTATGAAAATTGCTTTAAAATTTAAGCCAGCAGCAATGATAATAGATTCATCCAAAACGCTAAACAAGTAACCAAGAACAATGAGCTTAGTTATACGAATATCACATGGTAATGCCGCCATAATTTCTCCTATAAAAGTTAATTTCCCATCGTGATAGTCAAAATTTCCAATATCATCATGAATCAACATTCCACCATGCTCTTTTATTGCCAAAACCGCGTTTATTATGGCTGATTGATCTGGAGGATCAATAGTTGAGGCCAATATTTCCAATGGACTTCCCATGTCAAATTCCTTAATTTTAACAACAATTGATTCTAGTGGTGCCATCAATATTTCTGGAGGTGAATGTTCCAACAAGTTTCGATCATAAAAGTCTTTAAAGACTAAACGAAAGACAGTTCCACGACCAACTCGACCTGTATAAATGAAATAATTAGAATTTGCATTTTTGAAGTTTATCAAGTCATTTGAAGATGTTTTATACCAGTTCGTCCAGCTCGTTGCTTGCAATTGTTCTTTGATGCCCATCCAAGAACAAAACTTGACATTTGAGAACCGGAGTGTGTTTTCAAGAATTTTGTCAGACAAAAATCGATGACAAATGCCACATTTGGAATTGTGATAGAAGATTCTGCAATGTTTGTAGCCAGTATAATTTTCGTGTTATCTGTATTGATAAAAACGAGCTTCTGTTCCTCCATTGACAATGATGAATGTAGAATATGAATTTCTGGCTCGAATTTACGGAAATTAGTTAAATTCTCATTTGTTCTGAATTCTTCCTGCAAACGTTCGATTTCTGGTAATCCAGGCAGAAAAACCAGAATATTTCTTTTCTTAGAATCTTTTAAGCGTAAAATTAACAGTATTAATTGTGCAGCAAAGCTATACATTTCATGCGAAATTCCAGGTTCACGACTAATAATATCAGGAGAAACATCAAGTTTTCTCAAGTCACCCAAATATCTTTCAACAATTTCATATTTACGAGCCTGTCCATCCAAATCAATAATTGGTGGATAAAGAAATTCATCGTCAAGTTCCAATGATCGAATTTTCCAGAAATTTTGAAATTTATCAATGTCTAAGGTTGCGGACATGAGAATAACTTTCGTGCTTGTCTTGATTGGATTTAACCGACGAAGAATCGTAAGAAGGAAGTCAATTTCAAGATCTGCGAGTGTAAATTTATAATTAATTTATTGAATAGACAAAAAAAAAAACCAACTTATTCCTTACCTCTTTCATGAACCTCATCAAGTATAATGTGAGTATATTGCGCACAACTTTTCATCTTAATGAGTTTCTGTAAAATAACTCCTGTTGTGCAAAATGTCATTTCTGTAGATTCTTCTGTCAAATCTATGCATTTGTTTAGTCCAACTTGATATCCAACAACCGTTCCCAATGTCATGCCTCGTTCGTGAGCTACTCGCTGAGCTAAAGTTATGGCTGCAATTTTTCTCGGTTGACTGATTAAAATTTTGGCATCTTGATGACGTGCCTTGCAGTCATCGAAAATATATTGAGGAACTTGAGTTGACTTTCCACAACCTGTTGGACCTGATATCATCAAAACTGGAATCATATAAGGATAGAATTACGATTCGAAATCTAGGATCCAGAGAAATAAAACAACTCACTAGGATTGCTTCGAACATTTCTAATTATCTCGTCCCGATATCTGTATATTGGTAAGTCATTTCTGTGTTCGCTATGTGGTGGATCTAATTCATCAGCTATACTTAACGTGTCAAATAAAGCACTATCATCTAGTGGAATTACACTCGATAATCCAGTTAAATCAAGTCCGCTAAATGACTGGAATATAGATGTGTAAATACCAAGAATATATATTACAAATTCACTAATTATATCTTACTTCCGTTAACTCCTGTTGAATGATGTTCTGATACTTTTTCACATATTCAGTTCCGGAAGCATTTCTTGGAGTTTTTATTTCCGATTTCTTGAATTTTGGAGCTGATTTATTTGTTTTGGACGATGCAGAACTAGCTGCTGAATTTGTTACTTTTCTAATCTCTCGAAAGTTAAAGAAATCGTCAATTGCACCATCATTTAATGCATCATAAATGCTCTTCTTTTCATTTACCGCCATTTTTACTGGATGTTATGAAAATGTTTAAAAACAGTAGTTAATTGATGATTTTAAGGCAGTTCTTATATTTTAGTAGTTAAAAGGCCAGTGATATTACCTGATTAACTTATTTAAATCTTTTAAAACTAGCTTAAATTGAAATTTACTGCATAATGCATCAAATTTTTCACTTTAAAATATAGCAAATTTTTTTTATAAAATTTAAATTTGCCAAATCAGTTTAAAATTTGCTATAAAAATTATGAAAATGATAAGGATTCAAAATTTATGTAATTGTATATTGGTAGATTTTTGCGGTGACTTATTGTGATATGCACCATCATCTTTTGTTGAAACCAGTCTAGCAATGTTAATAGCGAGGAAGTTAATCAATTTTTGCTATAAAGTTATATCCATGTTTATAAGGCACTTCCTCAAAACAATAAACCATGGGTTTAATTAATGATTTTTTTTAAGGTGACATAAAAGGTTGAATTAGTTACAAATGTACAGAAAATGAAACATTTCTCGTCAAAATCTTAAGATAAAAATGCATTAAGTATAAAAATTTAAAATAAAAGAAAAAAACGACTAGTAGAGTGTTCGCGGATACGACTATTGAAAATATTAAAATTTAATAATTTGCGTAAAATCGCGATAAAGAAGCATCGGACAATTAAAAGTCAAGTTAATTCAATTATTTAACAGGAGTATATAGAGGAACAGCACGATGGCTTCCTTTCAAATCACGAATTTATTGGAAAAAGTAAGTAAAACCGATATCAAGAAGAAAATTGCAAAATCATTTCATTTTAAATGGCTTTTTGCGTGTAAAATTGATTAGTTTTTGGACGTTTCTTTCTTAACTAATTGTGTTGAGCTATAAAATAAGCAACAGGAATGCATAAACTGCGATTTTATTGTGATTTTTCAAAATTTTGTATAACCTCACTGGATCTCTTTGTTTACTGCAAATAATACGAAATTATATCTCCTTTTAGATGACTTCCAATGACAAGGATTTTCGATTTATGGCGACAAATGATTTAATGAGTGAATTACAAAAGGACAGCATAAAGTTGGATGATGAGTCTGAGAAGAAAGTCGTTAAAGCTGTATTGAGATTACTGGAAGATAAGAATGGAGAAGTTCAAAATTTGGCTGTCAAATGGTAAGCTCATGCAATGTCAAGCTAGTATTCATAAAAATTAATTATTCTATTTATAGTCTCGGTCCGTTGGTCAATAAAGTTAAGGAGCCACAAGTTGAAACTATTGTCGATACATTATGCTCAAATATGGTCAGCAACAATGAACAATTGAGAGATATATCAAGTATTGGCTTGAAAACTGTTATCTCTGAGCTGCCACAGAATAGTACATCAATTGTCCCGAATGTTTGTCAGCGAATCACAGGAAAGCTATCAAATGCTATTAAAATGGATGATGTTTCAGTACAATTGGAAGCTCTCGAAATTCTCGCTGACTTACTTTCTCGATTTGGTGATCTTCTTATTCCTTTCCACGAAGTCATTCTTCAGGCACTCGTTCCTCGTCTTGGCTCTGCTCGTCAAGCTGTTCGTAAACGTACAATTACAGCTTTATCGTACTTGATGACAACATGCAATAACGAATCATATAATGAAGTCATATTGCATTTATTAAATGGACTCGAAAAATCTCAAAATGCTGGAACAATTCGTACAAATATTCAATGTTTGGCATCGATTTGTCGTCAAGCTGGACATCGTTTATGTCACATTGATCGAGTTATGCAATTGTTGCTTAATTATAGTCAGCGTGATGATGACGAATTGAGAGAGTTCTGTTTACAAGCCAGTGAAGCTTTCGTTCAGAGATGTCCCGATACAATAAAACCACATATTCAATCGATCATTACACTTTGCTTAAAATACATAACATATGATCCAAATTATAATTATGAAGCTGATGATGGCGAATCAGGAATTTTAATGGAAACAGAGGATGATGATGACGATGGAAGTGAAGAATATAGTGATGATGATGATATGAGTTGGAAAGTAAGGCGTTCAGCCGCAAAATGTTTAGAATCAGTTATTTCAACACGTCACGAATTATTAGAAGAGTTCTATCAGACATTATCGCCAGCATTAATTGCTCGATTTAAGGAACGCGAAGAAAATGTCAAATCGGATATATTTCATGCTTATATTGCACTATTGAAAGCAACAAAGCCAGCAGATGACATTTCTAGAGATCCCGATGCAATGGATGATGTTCCACGTTCTATTCAGTTACTTCAAGAACAAGTTCCAATTATTGTGAAAGCTATTCAACCATTAATGAGAGAAAAATCGGTCAAGACTCGTCAAGATTGTTTCTTACTTTTGCGTGAACTTTTAAATGCTTTACCTGGCGCCCTGAGCAATCACATTGATTCTTTAATGCCAGGAATTCATTATTCTCTTAATGATAAGAATACAACATCCAATATGAAGATTGATGCATTAATTTTTGTCCATCACATGCTGACCGGTCATAATCCACAAGTTTTTCACTCACACGTTCAGGTTCTTGTTCCAATCATCGTTAATTCAGTCCATGATCCTTTTTATAAAATTGCGACTGAAGCACTATCCGTTCTGCAGCAACTTGTTAAAGTTATTCGACCTCTTGGTAATTTAATAACGTTTATAACTCTGTATATTCGATAATTCTAATAATCATACTAATTTTGCAGATGTTCAAACCAATTTGGATTTTACACCGTATGTTTCTCAACTCTATGACTGTACTTTGCAAAAATTGAAGGCACCAGAAGTTGATCAGGAAGTTAAAGAACGAGCAATCGCTTGTATGGGACAAATTATATCGAATATGGGTGATGCATTAAATGCAGAGCTCCTCACATGTTTGCCACTTTTTATGGAACGATTATTGAACGAAGTAACTCGTTTAAGTTCAGTCAAGGCACTCACAATGATTGCAGCATCTCCATTGTGTATTAACCTTACTCCCATTTTGAATGAAGTTATTCCGGCGCTCGGGTCCTTCTTGCGTAAAAATCAACGTGCATTAAAATTAAATTCGTTAGCATTGCTCGAGACACTCGTAAATAATTATGCAAATTGTTTTGAGCCAGTTTCATTACTTCAAATGGCAATTGCTGAATTACCCTCATTGCTAAATGAAACCGATCTACATGTCGCTCAATTGTCTCTCGTTTTGCTAACAACGACAGCAAAGAAACAACCTCAAGCACTTTTTAATGTTCACGCAGCATTTATGCCGGAGATAATGACATTAGTAAAGTCACCATTACTTCAAGGGACAGCTTTGACATGTACATTGAATCTATTTCAAGCTTTAGTTCAGGCAAATTTGCCAGGATTAACATATCGTCATTTATTGAACATGCTAATGCAACCTGTTATGGATTTACAACAACATCAATTACATAAACAAGCTTATCATTCATTGGCCAAATGTATAGCTGCATTGACTTTACAAATGCCATCAGAAGCTGTTCCAATTGCAAGCGAATTTTTAATGGGAATCCAACAACGTCGCAGTGATTATCATTTAATATTTTATTTGCTGACAATCGGTGAAATCGGACGTTATTTTAATTTAAGTGCTATTGAGGCATTACCACAAACAATTCTCACATGCTTTGCATCATCCTCCGAAGACGTAAAGGCTGCAGCAAGTCACGCACTTGGTGCTGTTGCTGTTGGAAATTTAAGTTATTACTTACCATTCATCTTACAAGAGATTGAAGCACAGCCAAAACGTCAATATCTTCTTTTACATTCATTAAAGGAAGTAATTACATCATTGTCAACTTCAAAGCAAGGATTGGAACAGTTAATGCCATCGGTTCCAATAATTTGGGCACAAATGTTCAAGCATTGTGAATGTCCAGAAGAAGGAAGTCGAAACGTTGTTGCTGAGTGCTTAGGAAAGTTGGTCCTTGTTAATCCAGAAGAACTATTGCCACGTTTACAGCAAGCATTAAAGAGTGAAAGTCCATTGATGAGAACAGCCGTTGTGTCTGCTGTTAAATTTACAATTTCTGATCAACCACAGCCAATCGATTCACTTTTGCGACAGTCAATTGGACAATTCCTTTTTGCTTTACAAGATCCAGAGCCTTCAGTTCGTCGTGTTGCTCTCGTCGCCTTCAATTCAGCAGTTCACAATAAGCCAAGTTTGGTACGCGATTTATTACCTGAATTGCTACCACAATTATATTCCGAAACAAGAGTAAAAAAAGAACTGATTCGTGAGGTTGAAATGGGTCCGTTTAAGCACACAGTAGACGATGGACTAGACATTCGTAAGGCAGCTTTTGAATGCATGTATACATTATTGGAACAAGGCTTAGATCGTGTGGACGTAATGCAGTTTTTGGAAAATGTCATAGCTGGATTAAGGGATCATTATGATATTAAAATGTTGACATATTTAATGACTGCAAGATTAGCACATTCATGTCCTGCTGCTGTTTTGCAACGTAAGTAAATCGTTTGTTGTCTACTTGGGCTATTGAACCAGTCTATATATATTTAGTAACAGATAAAAAAAAATAATTATAATGTAGCACTTCATTTATCAGATTGAATTTTAAACTACATATTTTATGTTGACTTTTTTTTTGTAGGATTGGATCAATTTGTGGAACCTTTGCGATCAACATGCACATTAAAAGTAAAACCTAATTCAGTAAAACAGGAGTATGAGAAGCAAGATGAGCTGAAAAGATCTGCATTGCGTGCTGTTGCTGCATTATTACAAATTCCAAAAGCTGGTAAGTTAACAACTTTTTTATCAATTCTTTCAGTTCCTTAATTTTTCAATATAATTGCAGATAAAAATCAACACCTCAATGACTTCTTGACGTTAATTAAAAACTCAAGTGATCTTCAGCCACTGTTTGAAACGGTTCAACGTGATACAAACTTGTTACTTCATGGCACGGGGGACGGGCTGATGGATCAGAGTTAGAGTGCTAGGAAAAAAATAAGACTTTTGTGAATTACAGAGTTGAATTGCTACATTTCTCCTGTGCTGATTTTTTAATTCTTATTTTTAATTTGAACAATGCTATTTTTTTTACGATCAATCGTCATTACTCTCATTAATAATTATTATTTTTTATTATGAAAAAAAAAAACATTAAACTGGCATTTGAGAAATGATTGTTCTTATATTTTAATTCATGATTATGTAAACACACTGATAAACACACTAAAAATTTAATGAATAAATAAAATGAAGAGGATCCGATGAATGTAATTTGGGACAGAATGAATATCCTCGAAAGCTGTGAAGCGTCTAAGAAAATAAATCTTGTGTTTCCCTGTTTTTTACATAAATTATGCTGGTGTTCTTACTTTTAAGTAAGAAGTAGTTTAACATGAACAGTTGCTTCAAATTACTAACGTCTGAGAATTCCCTTATCGAAAACTTTCAAGTTTCTGTGTTTGAATGATATGATAATGAAAATACAATCATCCTTTATTAAGATTTGGGCAAATTGAGCTCAATCCAAAGCTAATTTCCAGATGCTCATTTTGTTCAAAAATTAAAATCAGTTTATAAACTACCTTACCATCAATCCATTTTGCTTATGGTGCTATTGTTCACGAATTGGATTTCGTATAAGTCAAAGAGCATGGAACCGTTGGTTGCTGTTACCTTTATTTAAGAAATGTTTGAATCTAAAAGATCCAGTTGCAAGATTCTGGCTGAAAAAGAATCAACTGCATCCTTACTTATTTGGAAATGCGACTGAAAACTGTTGATCTGAAAAATAATTTGAGAAATTGCATACAACAATTTTATATGGCGGGATTTTAAAATCCCAATAAAATCTTTCACACAAGAGATTCAAATTAAAATCCCAAAAAAATCCCTTTGAAAAAATGATTTAAATCAAATCCCTTTTTAAAATCATTGCAAAAAGATTTTGATTTTGATTTAAATCACCCACGCTGATTATAGCATAAATACATGGTTTGAAGACTTTTAAGCACTCGATGGGCCAATAAATCGATAGTAACGGAGCTAATAAAACAAACCCGAGCTTTCTACGATGTCTGGTTAAAAAGTTTTTCTGGAGACGAACGAACAAAGTGCATTATTAAGCTACCTTTTCGAAACAAGTTTCAAAAATGCGCTTAAAAAGCTAGTTAAATTATTACCTTAATCCTTACACATAGTCCATGGAAGTATTAGCAATAGATACACACGATGCTCACTTGATGTCTTTACATAACAAGAACTTTGTCGTCATTCATTGCTAATTGTTTCTTTTGTTAATTCTTCCTCATCTGATGACAATTGATTCTGGATACTGTAGTGAGAAACTACCAGCCCGTGTTACATCGTCGTCAAAGCTAGTGGATGATAGTTTATTTTTTCGACTTTTTTGAATTTTTTGCTGTGATGATCCCTCCATTCTGACTTTGTATTCGTTGGTGTAAATGCTGGGTTACAAGAGTTTTTATATTTAATACGTAACATTCAATGGAATTTGTTGCCATTACCTTTCATGTCATGTGCTTCAATTATTCAGTATGAAAATTTGACAATGACAACAAGCCCGAACATACAATGAGTATACTCAGAGCACATTATTTGTGAGCTTGCAAACTTTTGTGAGAATGTGCTCATTTCATACATTAAAGTGATGCGATCACGGTACCTTTTTGAGTATGCTCAGTGAGCACATTCCTTTGTGACATGCATTAAGCTCAATGAGTAAACTCATGAGCATACTCAAATGAGAAGGCAACATGCCACACGCAACATTTTTTTAATGCAACATTTTTTATTGAATATACTTATGAACATTCTCAAAGAGCATATACTCATAAACATACTCAAAGAGCTTATACTCATGAAGATACTCAAAATATATATGCGCAGTGAGTTTATTTATGAGTATATGCTCATCTGAGCACATTCATGAGTGCAATCAGTTAAAGTCGCAAAATTCAAAAAAATTAATTAAGTTTAATTTGAGTTTTATAAGGATAATTCTGTGAATAATTTTGGAAGAGTTAGAAATTATTATTAACATTTTATCTCAAATACTTAAGAAGGAAGTTTTAAAAACCGGTCACCCATCCTTGTTGAAAACCCTATTGCGTTGCTTAACTTCTGTCACCTCACACTTTTCCTTGGAGCAATTTTCTGTAAATATATAATAATTTTTATACGGCAAAACACATACTTAAATTATTTTATTATTACAGGCAAACTAAGTTCTTTGAAGTTTGAAACGCTGCTTAATTGAACTATATTTTTATGAAATATTTGAGTTGATCAGAGTACGATCGTGAGAACATATGAACGCTTTTGCCGAAGAACGTGACGTGAAAAAACTGTCATTTGGAATTTGAAAATGATTTCACCGATTTTTACAAAACAAAGAATTTTTTTTAAAACTGATCAACGGTTATTCTTACAATAAAATTAGTGATTTTTTTTATACTAATAAATTTGCCAATAATTGATTGAATTAATACATCCTTGAGTGTTCAGTTCACTTGTTTGTTGTTTTTCTCTAACCATTTTGAATTAAAGTACAATAAACTCAATAAAAAAATAATAAAATTTAATTTTACGTGTGTAAACAAAAAAAAATTTCTTTGTTTTGTAAAAATCGGTCAAATCATTTTCAAATTCCAAATGACAGTTTTTTCACGTCACGTTCTTCGGCAAAAGCGTTCATATTATCAAAAATGTCGACCAACTTAGAATTAAACTTAGAATACATTTTTATGTAAGTCGACCAACTTAAAATTAAACTTAGAATACGTTTTTATGCAGGTTGACATTTTTTGAAAATATTTTATGAATTCAAATATTAGTTCCATGAAAGCCAAAAGATTTTGATCGTGCTTAATTCTTATAGTTTTTTAAAAGCGAAGTAATTTTTAATTTAATTCCTTGAGAAACTCTTGACATTTATTTCAGAAAACTTAAAATTGTAAAAAGTTTCGTAAATTTTTGTATTACATATCTAAAATATTCAACATTTGCTTTTAAGTTGGTTGACAATTTTTTAAAAATAACATTTTAAAAAATGTCAACTATCATTAAAATATATTCTAAGTTAGATTTTAAGTTGGTTGACATTTTTGAAAATGCCGACTTACATAAAAATGTTTTCTAAGTTTGATTTTAGTTGGTTGACATTTTTTTAAAATGTCGACTAATATAAAAATGTATTCTAAGTTTGATTTTATGTTGGTTGACATTTTTTTAAAATGTCAACTAATATAAAAATGTATTCTAAGTTCGATTTTAAGTTGGTCGACATTTTTGAAAATGTCGACTTACATAAAAATGTATTCTAAGTTTGATTTTAAGTTGATTGACATTTTTTTAAAATGTCGACTAATATAAAAATGTATTCTAAGTTTGATTTTAAGTTGATTGACATTTTTTTAAAATGTCGACTAATATAAAAATGTATTCTAAGTTTGATTTTAAGTTGGTCGACATTTTTTATTTTTTCTCATGAGTATGTTCAGTAAGTGCACTCATATGAGAACGTAAAAAAATTATGTCACACAGAAGTGAGTATGTTCTTAATATTCTCATGAGAATGTTCAGTAAGTGCACTCATACGAGTATATTCACATAAGTATGTTCTTAATATTCTCATGAGAATGTTCAGTAAGTGCACTCATACGAGTGTATTCACATAAGTATGTTCTTAATATTCTCATGAGTGTGTTCAGTAAGTGCACTCATATGAGAACGTAAAAAAATTATGTCACACAGAAGTGAGTATGTTCTTAATATTCTCATGAGAATGTTCAGTAAGTGCACTCATACGAGTATATTCACGTAAGTATGTTCTTAATATTCTCATGAGTATGTTCAGTAAGTGTACTCATATGAGAACGTAAAAAAATTATGTCACACAGAAGTGAGTATGTTCTTAATATTCTCATGAGAATGTTCAGTAAGTGCACTCATACGAGTATATTCACATAAGTATGTTCTTAATATTCTCATGAGTGTGTTCAGTAAGTGCACTCATATGAGAACGTAAAAAAATTATGTCACACAGAAGTGAGTATGTTCTTAATATTCTCATGAGAATGTTCAGTAAGTGCACTCATACGAGTATATTCACGTAAGTATGTTCTTAATATTCTCATGAGAATGTTCAGTAAGTGTACTCATATGAGAACGTAAAAAAATTATGTCACACAGAAGTGAGTATGTTCTTAATATTCTCATGAGAATGTTCAGTAAGTGCACTCATACGAGTATATTCACGTAAGTATGTTCTTAATATTCTCATGAGAATGTTCAGTAAGTGCACTCATACGAGTGTATTCACATAAGTATGTTCTTAATATTCTCATGAGTGTGTTCAGTAAGTGCACTCATATGAGAACGTAAAAAAATTATGTCACACAGAAGTGAGTATGTTCTTAATATTCTCATGAGAATGTTCAGTAAGTGCACTCATACGAGTATATTCACGTAAGTATGTTCTTAATATTCTCATGAGTATGTTCAGTAAGTGTACTCATATGAGCTTATAAATTTTTTGCAAAAAAATAAAGTGAGTACATTCGTAATGAACTCCTGAGCATGCTCAGTTGAATGAGCTTGCATGAGTATAATTTTAGAGTAGACTCACTTATATGCTCACTTTTCTGAGCATGCTCTTTGTATGTTCGGGAAGTGTACACTAATCAATTAGCGTTCCATCCTTGGAAAGTCAGTACTTGTAAATTGTGGATAAATAAATGATTGCTATATTTTGATGAATTTTGATTGAACTGGGTTGCACCATAAATTCACTGTTTCTTTGAAATCATGTTAAACAATTTTTTTGTCATGTTTTATTGATTTAATATTATTGCATAGATTGCTTTGTCAGTTTGAGCAATTTATGTAAAGTTCTGGCAGATTTGTAGTCTAAAATGTTAAATAGTAGCTCCCTTTGGACAAGGTTGCATCATAAATTCACGGTTTCTTTGAAATCATGTTAAACAAATTTTTTGTCATGTTTTATTGATTTAAGAACATACGCACAAATTGCTTTGTCAGCTTGAGCAATTTCTGTGAAGTTCTGGCAGATTTTTTAGTCGAAAATGTTAAATAGTAGCTTCTTTGGCACAAGGTTGCATCATAAATTCACTGTTTCTTTGAAATCATGTTAAACAAATTTTTTGTCATGTTTTATTGATTTAAGAGCATTTGCACAAATTGCTTTGTCAGTTTGAGGAATTTCTGAGAAGTTCTGGCAGATTTGAAGTCAAAAATGTTAAATAGTAGCTCCTTTGGCACAAGGTTGCATCATAAATTCACTGT